AAACGATTTCAAATCACTGATTTGAAATGAATCATTTAGGGCCAGCGTAAACGTACTATTACTGTCTCAATGCGTCTCAATGCGTCTCAATGTCTCAATGAATATAGCTCTTTTATTTATTTACATTTTACTTATAAAACATATGAAATATATATGAAATTTTTGCCGTTTCCCTTGTGGGAAATTTATTTTTAAGGGTTGCCTTCGGCATTTTTCGTCTTAAGGCTCAGTTAGTTGGTACGTGTCGTAAGAACTTAAGTCAAAGCGAAATGCACAACCAACTGAAATCTGCCAAATGTGATTTTTGATAGGAACAAAATAAACAAAAGCGGCTAACTTTATTTGTTTCGGTCCTACAAAAATCTATCACCCCGTTTACAGGAGCCGTAAAAGTTATTTTAAGACTTTAAAATCAATTTTAAGGTCGTATAAACACCCTAAACTGAATTTTGCTTAAAAGCACTTTAGCTTACTAAAAGGAGTTTAACATCACTATTCGTAAGAAACATCACTTTTAAACACCTTAAAAGCAGTTCAAGGTTTGAATTGTCAGCTATTAACAGTCAATAGGTACAAATAATTTGAATTTTATTACAAATAACACTTTGTCAACAGTATAATAACCAAAGAACTAAAAATATGGAGAAAAAGAGAAATAAAAAGAAAAAATTGGATAAAATAGGAAGAAAAATATTTAATTGAAATATTTACTGATAAAGAAATAATTAAATTGTTGGACGGAAAGAAATATAGAAAGGACACAATATATGAAATAGTGAGAAAGCGGAAAAACAGCGTGAATGGAAAACCAAGAAGCGTAAGCATAATGAAAATATGGTGCATAGTAGCAAAGAGGCGATTGAAACTGCATTTAAAAGCATAGTTGCACCCCACAATCTAAATTAATGAAAAACATTCTTTTTCTATTCTCTATTTTAAGGGGTATGGGATCGAATCAGCATAATACAAAGCAACTGAGCAGCAAAGGGCTAAGTTGGGGGCCTATTCCACGACTCAAAAATTACAATTTCAATGCTGAAGACAGCAGCCCTGTCACCAACCTAGGCTACTTAAGGCCACTCACTTACTGTAGCTGAATATTTAACTTATTAACAGCTCAAATAGAATAATAAACAGAACTGATCTTTTGTTGACCACACCTGCATGCCCACGGCTTTCGGGGGTGCCTAAAATCTCTAGAGCGCGCGTTACAGGTAGCGGATAAGGAATGCTTCCCAGATATGGGTGGTAGGAGGGAAATGAAATACCTCCCGCAGACCAAACAGACCGGAGATGGGAAACTTCGTTATCAAATTCCAGACATAATATACCCCTTAGTCCCAGGTTATGATCGGCGTTGCATACTTGGTGGACAGGAGGATACAGAAGAGAAGGCGGCGGAGAAATCAAACAAATCAACGACTTCTCTCAGACTTCAAAAGCAAGTTACTGTACGATAAAAACAATCCTTGAGCTCATCTCTCTTAAAACCACTGTTCTTTTTTGAAACCTAAATGTTTAATGACATAAAATCAAACATTAACGGAATATCTAATCCAAGTGGTAGCTACAATTATATACTAAATCTCCCTGCCATGGCAGCAAGTACAACGGTTTTGGAGGTGCAAAGTTCAAGTCACGAAACATTGATGAATGAAACCGAAACGATTCGAAGAAACCAAAACTAGACAGGTTTAGGAATAAAAGAAGACTTATATTTCGGAATATGGAATGTGCGAACATTAAATGTATGTGGAAAGCTGGAACAACTACGAAAAATACGTAAACAGTTTAAAGTTGATAGGTTGTCAATACAAGAATATTAATACAATACAATTCTGACAATGAAAGCCTCTTTTATACTCAGACAAAGAAGAAGGAGATATCCACCAAAGGGAGATTGGTATTCTTATGTCCTCAAGTATAGCTAAGTGCATACAGGAATGGCATCCTATCAGTGACAGATTGATAATACCAAAACTGAAAACTTGAACTCGTCGAATGGTTATTATTAATTGTTATACACCAACTGAAAAGGAAACAGATGACGTTAAAGATGAATTTTATAGTCAACTCGATGGAACCATAAATAAACAAATAACAAATAAAAATATGCATTCTTTCGGAAAGCTAAGTATCTCTAAAATCTTTAGCCAAACTCAAATTTGGTCTGGGAATGCTTTCAACTTCTCAATACCCTAGCATCGAGAAACTATGTTACTCTTATGTGGGTACCGGGAGATGAAGAGCTTGAGGGCAATGATATAGCAGACCTCCTAGCAAAAAAGGGTGCCTGTACTGCTTTCATTAGCTCAGAGCCCCTTTGCGGGGTAACAAATAGCTTCAGAAATAACTTATTATGTGAACGGGAGAAACAACAACTACTTGAACACTTGAGAGCCCAAACAGGCATGCTACAGTCAAGAAGATTCATTGATCCTGAACACATCAAAGTTGATGCTATCCTTGGCCTTAACAGAAACGATATTTAAATCCACACTGAACTTCTTATAGGACACTGTAGACTTAATTACTACATGAAAATTAAAGGTGGAAGCGGAATCTTAGTTCCAAATCAAGATTTATAAATAGTCTAGAATTGTTTTAGTTGGGCCTTATAGCACAATAGATCTATTGTTCATAGCCTATTGTTTAATAATAAAAATGGTACTGGTACTGCTACCTAAAATGACAATTGGCAGAGACTTCTCGAGCTATGGTCTTACATAAGCTTGATTGTAGACGGAACATTATTCATTCATAACCCACTTTATAAGATAAATTGGAAATCTCCAAATAGATCTGTGAAAAACCAAATAGACCACATCCTAATTAACAAAAAGTGGAAGTCACCGCTCCTAGATGTAAGAACCAAAAGGGGAGCAGATAATGGAAGCTACCATTACCTCGTACGAACAAACTTTAGAATAAAATTGACAGCCATTAAGAAAAAAAAAAACAAAAGACAAAATAAAAAACAAAAGACAAAAAAAACAACATAAACAAACTAAAAGACCTCCAGCATGCATGCCTAAGAGCCGCCTACGAAGCTATGAGAAGTACAAATAACAGCAATCAAAACGACATGGGAAAGTTGTTTTTGGCTATAACTCTTAATTTATCTTATGTCGCTTATAGTAACAAATAGAACAAATTAATAAGAATCTAATATAATATTTACTAAAATATATCCAAATAATTGTTTTTTTTTCTATTAATTAGTTATATGAGCGAATATGAATTTGCGGTTTTTACGGTGTACTCGGTATTGAGAGAATTTAAATTTGGAGGGTATTGGAGGTTAATTGACGATTAATTTCCTAATAATTGACTAGCAAATGTTAAAAGTGTAATATGATAGCGTAAGAAAACATATGTTTAGTTCCTCTTTCAATAATTTTTCTTTACTAAAAACTAGTGATGAAATTAAAATTTATTTATAATATGGATAATGATAATGGCCTTGATTTTGTACCAAATAAAGACGATGAGTTTGATATTGAAATGAAATGATTGTTGGAATAAACAAAACTTTCGACAGTGAAGACGTCAATGGCGAAGCGCCTGTAATAGAACTACAAAGTGCTGCTTAAGATGATTTTTATGGTAAAGATAGCACAGAATGGTATATTGAATGAAATGTTGGTGCTCTCGTACGCCAAAACAATGATATACGTTATAGTGGTCAAAGAAAATATTCTATTCCAATTCAGATGTTTAAAAAATTACTCACACCAAACACATTATACACATACACATTATCTCTAAAACGAACCGTTACAAAAAAGATTTAGTTTATAAATGGAATTTGGCTTGTTCTAATAAAAAACAAAAGGTTTAGAAAGTTGCTATTGAAACTAAATTAGATATTAGAATAAATACCATATTCAGAGCAGCTGTTTTTTAAACCAATCTGTACATAAATATAATTTATCTGGTTTGATAATAGATGAAACCTTCCGTTCGCAAAGTGATAAAGCTGCACAAAATTTATATCCCATATTCACACAATATCCTTTACAGAAGAATTATATACACAAATAGAGAAAAAGTCAGCTATACCACGTGAAGTGAATCAAATTAAAAATACTGTTATGATATATACATCATCGTAGAGTTCTGCTTGAAGGGAGCCAAACCACTGGCTATAATTGGGCTAACATTAGTTGCTATTGTTCAGTAGAAATCTATTTCATGTAACACATATTTAATCAAATATATTAATAAAGACAAAATATAAAAAGCCAGCATGCAAATGTTATTTTTCTACATTCCATACAATATTTTATCGATAGTTTTATTAGCAAAGTTAGACCAATGTATGAAAACCAATAGAACCGAAAGTAAAAAAAATTTTTTTAATGTATCGTATATAAATACATTAACTCCAAGTAAGTAATATTTACAATACATATGTAAAACGAAATATATGTATGCCAAGACTCATGAGGTACAAATGTAACTATCCGGACCACGTGCCCTATGTAGAGTTAAACAATTTTTAGTAGTGCAGATTATTCTTCGCCATAAAAGAATAGAATTATACGTGATGGGGCTCTAATTTTTATATTAAAAAAACATCCTTAAATTGTGTTTACAACAAAAAAAAAAATTATAATACACATGTTAGCTTCTTCAATGACAGTCTAAATAAATTTATAAAGCAGAATAGATTTCTAGAACTGAACAGTGGATTTTCGGTATTTTAAATTTCTTTTAGCATAAATAAAAATAATGCAAATCAATTATTAACAACCAACTTATAATTAGATTCTTCTAAATATATCTGATTCTCATATTCTACATCAATATATAGATCTGATACCCACATTTTATCCGCCAATATTATAACATTGAATTCTTAACAGATTTGAGTACTATTTAAATTTATTAAAAGTACAATTACAATATATTGTATTAATATCAGATTATTAAGTATACAGAAATCTATACGGACAAGTTGTTTCGCAACAGTTGTTAAAATATTGAAAAAAGTGTAATATACTATAAACTGTTTATTTTTGAAAAATATTTCCTAAAGTTAAAAGGTTTTTTTTAACATACATTTTCAATCTTAATTGTGTTTATAACTAAAGGAAAGTTATGTCGCAATTTATAAATTAAAAGCTGTGGTAAAAGAAAAGGATTGTGTGATTTAATATAAAGTAAATGGTCCTATTTACTTTTCATCTGAAAATAAAAAATTTTATATGAATATTTGTACTACACTTTACAATAATAAAGATCCTACCCTCATCTTCATCATCATCCCCTTCACCATCTTCATCGTCAAACATTTCTTCCTCATTATCATCATTATCCTCATCATCTTCCTCTTCTTGTTCAACCTATAATTAAGATTTATATACAATTGTTTAGGACGTATATAATTAGAATTTACCTCTACATCAGGTACCAAATAATATTGTAGGGGATTTGGCCAGAGGTCGTCTTTTATTAATTCTGCAATTTCATCATTAACAGGATCACTATTATCGGTAAACCAGTCAAAGAAAGTTTTATATTCGGAATTCCTCTTCTTTTTATTGTTAAATGGTTTTGATAATAGGTGTTTTAATAGATTCTTTCCTTCCTTCCAAGTGATAGTAGTACTTGTTGAAGAGGGACATTCGTTATTGTCCGCTGTATATATAAATTTATCATTTCTTAATAGTAATTATATAGTGACTGGCATATTTCACTTACAACCAGATCCAAGATGAAATTCTTTAGAAAGAACTTTATTTTCAAAATAAGGATTTTCTTCAAAATAAAAATGTATGCGATAACCAGATTTAATATCTTCAAACTCTTCAACCTCTAATTTGTTAAGAGCATGCAGGCATTCTTCTTCTTCTTCATCGAGAATACCAGAAATTTGTGGATGATTTATAAACTATAATCCAAAAGAATAATATATTTGTTTTAGCTACTAAATAGTGTATTTCTATCGTAAATTCGAAACACGTATATCACCCCGAAAAAAACAAAAAAATAAAATAAAACAAAACCGGCATAATAAAAAAAGATGGCAATGTAGCAGCAGAAATGCCATCTTTTGTGTGTGTACACAAAGCGCCACGCCGAGTACACACACAAACACATTTACATTGTAATAAAAGAAAAAACGTGCAGAATTATGTATATACAAGAAATAGAGAAAATTTGCAAATAAAATTTAAATTGAAATTAACAAAATTTTACTTGTAATATTATCTACTTATAGCACCTTTGTAGTTGGTACTTATAGTAAATAGTATGGGATAGAAAAATAATTTCATAATTGAGTAACGAACAACTTACCGCTGTTACCCAAAAATTAGGGATTCTTTTAACCAAGTCACTGCGTTTTTCGTAGCATGGCTTGCGAAGTTTGTTGTATTTTTGTTCAACTTTAAGGATTTCTTCACTAGCCTGCTCGTTTAACTCATCAATCTCATTCTGGCAAGCATCAATTTGTTCTAGTGCTTCTGCTTCCTCTTCATTATTTGTTACTGCATCGGCATCATTGGACAACTTGGGGCGCTTGCTAGGTACGCTCGACATATTTTATGAGGATTTTAATAAAATTTTAGATAATTTATAAATATTTGCGTAAAAACACAATTTTCACTATAAGTGTTGGTACAGTTGATTCTCTATAACTTAAACGAATAAAGCGCAATTTGCAATTTTCTCAATCTTTCCTTTTCCTAGAAAGAACCTCCGTCCTCGCACGACTGTTGCAAAGTGCTATCGAGAATGAATGCAAAGTACGATGTAAACCGGCAAATAAAAAGATTAATCATAATGCCAAAATGGCAGCAACAGCAGCTAGTGTTTTTCACACTATATTTATCTCTTACTAACATTAGCTAGCAACTTATTTTCTTTTTGTGTCTAAACGCAACACCAGGCGCCATTTTAAAATTTTCGTGTTTGGCGTTTGTTATTTTTTAACATCATTTTTATTTCGTAGAACTTAAGGTTTCATTATTTTAACAAATAATATGAAAACATATTAATTCTTATAAAAATATTTTATTTTTCCTATTAATCATATATTTAATACAGTTTAATGCTTTACTTGAAGAGAAACAAAAAGCCTACGTATATATATTCGTACACATATTCATTAGCAATTCAACTAAATTACCTGATTATCAAAACAAGTACGTAATATTTTGTTTTATATACTTTATTTTTTATTTTGAACGCAACAAGTTCATTTACAAGTTCAATAACAGTAAAGTATGTAGTTTGTTATATTCTAATAAATTTAATTTGTTAAATAATAAAATAATTAATAATATCCGCTGCTAAAATTCCATCAGTTTAAAATGCATTTAAAACTTTTCGTGAATACCTCTTTTTATAATAGGTTAATTCGTACACGTACATACAGTACAACTTAAGTAAACCATTATTTGAATTTCATAAGCTCGGTATCCCGTATTCATGAAATAGTAAGAAATGAAAATTTGAGAGAACAATGTGTCATTTTGTAATATCACGAATTGATTAAACTTTATTTTTTAAATTTTTTCAATTATATTTATTTTTACTTTTGTTAAACAGGTGATTTATTTTAATCCTTCACATAAAATATACCGCAAAATATTTTGCTCATACTTTTGTAACATATACAGTTTGTAAACATTGTGTTTGCAAAACGAAAAAATGTGATAAATGTTTATTAAATGCACAATAAAAACGATCTCATTTTGAAATACAAAAAATTAATTTTTTTCACCATAGTGAAAATTTTATAAAACGTTTAATAAATTAATAAATATAGTTAAAAACTTTTAACCACAAATAATAAATAAGTGCAATAAATAAATAAATAAATATAAATTTATATACATAATTTTTAATAGCTGGCAGTGCCGCGTTATTAAACTGACAGTTCAAACGCACGTCATCTCACTTTCTCTATACTATATTTTTCTCGTTCATACTACAAACACCATCACCATTGAGGTTGCAATCTTTTACTTTGGCCGCAAATTTTGATGTTATAGCGTAAACGTAGAATAGTGGAATTTTTAGTTAATCTTGTGTGAAACAAACGTCTATATATAATAAAAATGTCTACAGCAGATCATAAAATTGGTGTAAATACAAATTTACAAAAGCAAGATCTTGAAAATTTGGTAAGATACAAACTGAAAATATTGGAAAATAGTAATTCATGGTAGTAAAAGCAATGATTGATAAAAAATTTGTGAAAGTGGTGAGGGGAATGACGCTAAAACTAATGCCAGAATATAATTACGTTAATACAAAATTTCTTATAATATGTTATGTTTAATAAAAGTTTATAAAAAACGGATTTTGTGAATTAGTATATATTTAAATGTTTGATGATAAAAATAGGATATAAACCACATAAAAGGGCAGCACGTGGCCACTACAGCGTAGGGCTACGGCATATACTTTTCTTTCTACTACAAAAATCTGTTAATATATTTGGTGTAAATACCGTTTGTGAAGATCTATTAATCAACTTTTTTGACCACAAATATACAAACAACGAAGCAACGTTTTATATACGCTCCATCTGATGCAATACAAAAAACTAACCTCATTTCAACTTGTTTAATTGTTTCTACATGCAAAACATACAGTTTTACATTCTTTAGAAAATATAAACATTTAATCCATATATCTAAAAATGAATAAAATTTGTTCGGTCAAGTTTTCTTTCTTTGGTTTATGAAACAAAACTAGTAATTAATATAGTTAAAGGAAATAGGGTGCTGATTTATCTGTTGCATGTGCGGACGTGGCTTGTTTATAAGTTATAAATGTGTCTTAACACAACTACCATTTTATTTTAACAAAACTGTTTCTTGCTAAATTATTACCATTTATCTAATATTATAGGACGTTACCAGTCTAACACCATTGTCTCCGGAAGTCATTTCCAGGCAGGCTACCATAAATATTGGTACAATTGGGCATGTCGCGCATGGTAAATCAACTGTAGTAAAGGCTATTTCTGGTGTTCAAACTGTTCGTTTTAAGAATGAACTAGAGAGAAATATAACAATTAAGCTTGGTAAGTTAGAAATTATTTAGTTTTATTTCTTATGAACAAATGAAATGTTTGGTTATTTACTAAATATTATGACTGTTTTTATATTTATATTTATAATTATATTTGCATGCTTATAGAAATATATGTGATAAAGAATTTTTATATCAGTATATATTGGAAATGTTATATTTGCTGTTTTAGGTTAACATTAAATAGGTCTACTCATTGAATAATTATTGTTCATTATACATCAGTTCTTTTCGTTGGTTCGAAAGTCTGGCAAAAAAAACAACAAGTTACTGGCCTATACTGGCCGAAATGCACGCAAAACAACAACACTATTTCCTCTACCTCGGCCAGTATAGGTATACTGGCCAAACACATCGGCCAGTAAAAAATAGATGTTTTCAACGAATAAACGAACTATTGTAAATCTTTATTGAAAATTCCAACGAATATTGCAATCATATGTCAAATATCATTTCTACACAAAAATTCAAACAAAATTGAAAAATTTCATAAATTGAAAAATTTGGAAAAAAGAAAAAAAATTTTTTTTTTTTTTTTTTTTTTTTTTTTTTTTTTTTTTAAATTTTCATCATTTTTACCATTTCTTTAGTTCTGTATTCATAAAAGTAATATAATTCAATTTATATGAATTATTTTTATACAAAATGTAATTTGCTTTTTGCGAAAACATAACACTTGACAGATTGCAACAGTGATACCAATGTCTCGCGTAACCAATATAGGTCAGCATGCATTTTTTGCCATACTTGCGAACCAACGAAAAGGCCTATTTTTGCTTTTCTTTGTTCAACTAACTTATTTTCTAAATATATATTATATGTTGATATAATATATCCTTCTCTATAAGCATATTTTATTAATTATTAAATAACAGGCCAGTATATTATATTTAAATTTGAATTTTTTTATATCATTAAATTAATAACCTATCTCATATTCCAATAAATTTTTGCTATTCGTATGCACCACTTTACTTATTTGGTCATTATTAATATATATAAGCATTCAGGTATAATATTAAAGTTAATAAATAAACTATATTAACAGTTCGTACAGATTATAATTGATTTAATATAATTGAAGTGGGATCTCTTAGATAGATGTATTATTAATATAGAACAGTGAAATCCAAGAGTATGCTGTAGTGCGACCTATACTTATAATAGCGTTTTACCACTGAAACAACTGAATCTCGTTTTAAAATAATATTAAGTTGTAAATTTGTAACAGTAACTGGAGTCTAAAACAGAGTCGTTCATACAAACTAAATTTTTGAATTATGTTTGGGGCCCCTTATCAATCTCTTAATATTATTAATATTAATATACATAATTTTCTTAAAACATAGATATAATATCGGGAATCTATATCACTGAATAATTTTTGATAATGAAGAAAATGATATTCATTAACAATTTTTTTTTTTTAAGTTTATTAAGTTTGGCTTAGATGAAGCTTACTTATGTTTTAAAAATTAGTTATTTACGTTTTTCTTACTGATTTATTTCATTAAATATATTATATGTTTCTAAGAATAAATACACATTTTACATAGAAGGGAAACATTTCCAGAACTTATGTAGTCAGTTAATAGAGATTAAGCATTTATTGTCTTGATCTCAAATAGCTCATGTATAATGTTTTTTGTTCAGATTAAAAACTTTAATTATCAGATAGCATTCTTACAGACTGAAGAACATCGCTGTATCGATATGTTTTCGTGAAAATGATCATTAATATGTATACTTATATGGTCTTCGATAACTTCTTCATCGCATTACAATATGTTAATAAACTTCAGATAAGCTGTATTCAAAATAGTGTGAAGGGTGTGAAACTATTTTTTCAGGGCTTTAATGATGATTAAAAAAGATAATTATTAATATTAATTGGCATATAAGATTGGAAATAAAATTGAAATTATAACAAGTTAGTCAAAAAGGAATAACAATTATATATGAATACAATTAAATTGAATAAACTCTTGCACAAATTAGCTATTTTGTATATAAAAAAAAATGAAATCATTTAGAATTATATATGTTAAAAAAAAAAAAGTTTAATTTGAATTTATTACGACGGATAAGTATTTGGTGCTATACGTTCTGCAATTTCTTCATTCTCTCAAATGTCTTCAATAATTGCTGGTTTTTAGATGCATAATATAGATTGAAATTAATACAAGTCAAATGTAAAATTTCTTATTACGATGTTAGTATCTTTATATATCTTAATTAATTAGAATTCTTTTCCTATTTTTGTATACTCCAGCAATTAACGAATTTTTTATATTTTCCTCTTTATTTTTATTTATCAAAACGATACTAAAACGTGTCCACCACTGTGCGAAATTTGCAGAACGTATAGGCCAGAAAAATCTTGAAGCTTTATTAAAGTCGAGAGAATCACTGCGCGAATATGAAAAACGCGTGGAAGTCAAACTGCAGAAATTGCGAATGGAGAGAAATAGAAGTAGAAGCTTAAGTGTTGATATATCAAATTATGGCGATAATCCTAACCGAATTCATTCAACTAGCCCTAGCAGTGGGTATGAAAGTTTAAATGATACCATATCAAATTATAGTAATGATACTTACCAAGCAAAACCAATAACACGTGCTGGAAGAGATATGCGTGCAGTAAGATTAAGAAAAATACAGACTGAAAATGAAGAAAAAAATAAGCAAAAGTTAATTAACGTTTTCGAAATTAAAAAGGGCCAGAAACGACGATTGTCTGAATTATCTACTTGCAGTGGCGTTGACACAGATACTAGTTCTCCAATTAGTAAGCGTCATAAGATCGAAATCGCCATAAAGAAGGGAGAATATATTATTGAACGTATTCTGTCATTAGAATCAATCAATACTGAACCTGTATTTTTTGTAAAATGGTTAAACTATCCTCATAGCAAAAATACTTGGGAAACGTTCAAGAATCTTAGTGAATGTACATTATTGGAAAGTTTTATTGATGAACAATATAAATATTTTGAAATTGTAATTTCGAATTTATCGAAGGAAATTAAAGTAGAAATTGAGAGTAATGCACTTCGATTTGATATATCCGAAATAAATATTAATGAATTAGATGAGTATGAACCAATATTCATAAAAATTGATTTCATACTACTATCACAATTTCGACAAGCAGGTTCCAAATCTGTGAGAGAACAGGAAAAAATTCGAAAACGTCTTATTCACAACATGCTCTTAGAAAAATATTATATACGACGTAAACAGCAATTACTCAAATTGAAGGCATTTGAAGAGAATGTTAATTTAATAGAACCAAATGCTCCTATTACAGTTGAAAATAATGTGGATTTAGATGTTATTGATCCAGAATTTCATTATATAAAAGAAAGTTTTGCTGGCGAAGGTGTTAATGTGTCAACAGATCCTCCTATTAGCTGTAATTGTGACGGTGCTTGCATACCTGCAAATAAGTGCTGTGCACGTTTAGCTGGTAGTCTATTTGCATACGAAAAGAACGGTCGTCTACGTTTACCTCAAGGTCAGGCTATATACGAATGCAATAGCAAATGCGCATGCGATGAATTTTGTACAAATCGCGTCATTCAGCGTGGACGCCAAAATAAACTTTGCATATTCAAAACATCTAATGGTACAGGTTGGGGTGTTCGCACCGAACGTAAAATACTTAAAGGCGAATTTGTCTGTGAATATTTTGGGGAAATAATTACTACCGAGGAGGCTAATATACGCGGTAAAAATTACGATGCTATTGGGCGCACTTATTTGTTTGATTTAGATTACAATACCGCTGCAGAAAGTGTCTATACAATTGATGCGGCCACATACGGAAATATCTCGCATTTTATAAATCATTCCTGTGATCCAAATATAGGAGTATTTCCATTTTGGGCCAATAATTTGGATGTGAATATGCCACGTTTAGCATTTTTCGCTTTAAGACCGATTGCAGCCGGAGAGGAATTAAATTTTGATTACATTAGTGCAAATATAAGCGAAAATGAATATGAAAATTTATCAAGTGCAGAAAAAGTTTCATGCTGCTGTGGATCGCAGAAGTGTAGATTGTTATTATTCTAATAAATTTATTACAATTTAATGTTAAAACGTTCACTGCCTACAAAATAATGTTTTATTACTTAATGTTTAAGTCTATGTAAAGTCTATAAAATATTTTTTCTCTATAATGTACAAACTATATTGAAGTGATTATAAGACACAATGTAATATATTATTACATACAATTAATAGAGCTTGAATTATTGTTTGAAAACGATTTGTTTGTATTCGTTAATTTTAATAAACTTATAACACTTAAAATAAATAAGGGTAAAAATTGAAGTTATAAATGTACATGAACTTTATTTAAATGTTTTGTGAAATTTAAGAGAAATAATTTTTTTTCTCTTAATAATAAGGGACTTATTCATTAATTTTTTTATATTGTTCAAACTATTGCCAATATTAAGTTAGTCAATATGTTTGTAACCCAGTCAAGGAGATATCAAAGACAGCAGAACTATGCATATCTAGTCTTGAGCATCGTGGTGAGATGAATCAGTTCAGCTTAATTGAATAAAAATTAGTATTGAAACTTTAGAGGCATTCAAACAGATGAAATTTAAATATGAATGAATTGGTTGAGTATCATGTAGCGCGCATACCAAAATAAACTGGTGAATATGCTTATATTTTATTAAATATTAAAATATATTTCCATTTGGTTATACTTTTAAAAGTTTATTAAAGCTATTGCATTGAAGTGTATTGCATCTAGATAAATTAAGATTTTACGTTATATAGGTTCACCAACATTAATAAGTAATTTTATAAGCGTTGAATTTATCAGCTCCAAACAATCAAATTTTATAAAATTTATAGTTTATGCTTAAAATTAGATTTTAACATCTAGGATTTATAAGAATTATTAAACATAAACTAGACAGTCAGCTATATATAATTTATAACAAATATAATAGACTAATACCTTAATATCTGCATAAATTAAATTTTTTTTACCACAATCGTTATGTTAAATATATATTTTTGATTATGTATCATTTATTTTAAAGAAATTATAAAAATTCTTAAATATTTTTGTTTAAGGTTACGCAAATGCCAAAATTTATAAATGTGATAATCCAAAATGTCCACGACCTGCTTGCTTCGTTTCTGATGGCTCTAGTAAAGATGACAGCTTCCCTTGTGCGCGTCCAACCTGTTCTGGACGTTTTAAGCTTGTGCGTCATGTAAGTTTTGTTGATTGCCCTGGTCACGATATTCTCATGGCTACTATGTTGAACGGAGCTGCAGTTATGGATGCTGCTTTGTTACTTATTGCTGGTAAAACTTTCCATTAAGGGTCTATTAACTTTCATATAATAAATAAATATTATAGGTAATGAATCCTGCCCTCAACCACAAACGTCAGAGCATTTAGCTGCCATAGAGATTATGAAACTTAAACAAATTCTTATACTTCAAAATAAAATTGATTTAGTAAAAGAGAGTCAGGCTAAAGAGCAATATGATGAAATAACTAAATTTGTGCAAGGGACAGTGGCAGAAGGCGCACCAATTATACCTATTTCAGCTCAATTGAAATATAATATCGATGTAATTTAACTATAAATATGATTTTTGATGTAATTTATTATGTTTTTGTTAACTAGGTGCTATGCGAGTACATCGTTAATAAAATACCAGTCCCCGTTCGAGATTTTAATGCACCACCAAGATTAATTGTTATTCGTTCATTTGACGTAAATAAGCCTGGCTGCGAAGTAAATGATTTAAAAGGTGGTGTAGCTGGCGGTTCTATACTTTCAGGTGTGTTAAAAGTTGGTCAAGAGATTGAGGTACGACCTGGTGTTGTTACCAAGGATGGTGAAGGAAATATTACCTGCCGGCCTATATTCTCGCGCATTGTATCATTATATGCTGAACAAAATGAGTTACAGTACGCCGTACCTGGTGGACTTATCGGTGTTGGTACTAAAATAGACCCAACATTATGTCGCGCGGATCGTTTAGTTGGTCAAGTGTTGGGAGCTGTTGGGCATTTACCAGAAATTTACATTGAGCTGGAAATTTCTTATTATTTATTGCGAAGATTATTAGGTGTGCGTACTGAGGGCGATAGAAAAGGAGCACGTGTAGAAAAATTACAAAGGAATGAAATTCTTTTGGTAAACATCGGTTCCCTGAGTACAGGCGGTCGTATATCGGCAACAAAAGGAGATTTAGCAAAAATTGTTTTAACAACGCCTGTTTGCACAGAGAAGGGTGAAAAAATTGCATTAAGTCGTCGTGTAGAAAAGCATTGGCGGTAAGTTATAATTTGTAATGTAAATTATATCATTAAACTTATATATTTTTATTTGTTTAGTTTGATTGGTTGGGGACAAATCTTCGGAGGAAAAACAATACAACCTGTACTAGATAGTCAACCGACGAAAAAAAAAATCACAAATTCTGACTAACTTATTTTATTAACTATATATGTTTAATGAATTGTTTAAAAGAAGTACTGTTACTTCACCTAAAGTATATAGATTATATATGTAATTTTTGTACCAAAATATCCAATAGTGAATATACAATTTGGGAACAGAAAGTTTTGTTTTTAGTTTATAATTACATTATTTGAATTCAGATTTTATTAAAATATAACATTTCTATTCTCAAATAATTATGCAGTTGCGTTGTTATTACTTTCGTTGTTTTACATAATTAAAAAAAATAATTAACAGAAATAACAGTAAGATAGTTATCGGTTAATAAAAATGCTTCGAAAAATAACTAATGCAAATATTTGATATATTTTTTGATTGACATATATTATTCTTACAAATCTCAAAATATATTTATAAGGAAATTGGTATTAATACAACTAGTAGCATTATACTAATAAAATTTTATTTTACTAAATTAATCATTTAAAGACCAGTATTTCTATGTTTCCCTCTTTAACTAGCTAGTGAGGTCTAAGTGATTAGTGCTCTTTATTCTGCGTATTGAATCAAATAAGGTGACCAATTGTAAAACTTCTTTATTTATATGTTGAGTTTGTTTAAAAGCATAAACTGCAGCAATCGCTTTTATGACGTCTTGAAATTCTTTAAACGTTTCGCGTACGCTTAATTATAATGACATTACTTTAAGTGTTGCTTTCTCGCAACTGTGTCGTGTGTCCATACAGGTTTTAAAACTTAATTGTGAAAAATAATTTAATTTGTATTGATAAAACTAAGTACATGCCAATTAGTATAGTTCTTGTTTTTTTTTCTACCTACTCTTTTCTTCGTAGTTTGACATCTAGAGTCATGACTAAGTATTTTGTTGTATTAAGGTACAGTATTTGATACTACATGAAAATCTCTATCATTTATTTAAATGTGTTTTTAACCGGGCCCTGCGACTAAAGCTCACTTTAGCTCTAATATTTACCCGTTGTGATACCACGAGTTAGCGCTATTCAGATACAGACTAAAGGCCAGCGTAAGAACAATGCCAAAAACATGACTCTGCCATTCAAGTGAAAGTGGACCAACCAGATTAGTTTATGAACATGATCAAGTGTTTAATTTTACAGGATGACAGCTTTGGTGAGATCTTCTGCTAGCCAATGATGATGAAGTGTTTTGTCAACATTGATATCATAATGTTGAGCACGTTTTGCCTTGCCAGGGAGCATATCAGTACTCATAGTTGTCTTATTATTAATTGACTTTTTAAAATACAACTTGAAAAATAATAATTGAATACTTGTCCACGAACTCATAACTTGTACAATACATTCTGCCTTCTATCGTAAAACGCCAAAATAACTTATTTTGCTTTTTGAAACGAAAACTTCAAAAATAACTTATTTTTTAAGGCAAAAATGACACACACTATGTGCAACTTATGTCTACAAAGCAAATATTAGTAAAGATCTTATACATTGTGAATATGAAAAACGAATTTTATTTTAAATAGTTTTATATTATATTATAAATAATATGATTTCTAAAATCAAATATACAATATCAGTTTGGTGTGACGAAGTTTTAGTACCTAAAATATTACTTCATTCTTGTGTATATATAAAGAGACAACACTCATTTAAACACTATATTTGGTAAGAAATTAATATTAAAAGTAATAATATTCAGTTTGAACTCATGTCTGAGCTGAGCACAAATACATAATTAGGTATTCGACTAGAATAGGTTTGATAGATATATTAATTGTTATTTTTAAATAATAATACACTTAACTCACATTATAACAACTATTTAGAAAATATTTAGAAAATACTTATAAAAAATTACTTATTTACAATATTTATCGGCAGTAGCAGTATTTACGTAATTCGGGATCTCTTTCATAAATACAACGCGCCTGGTCACCATATTTATTGACGCGCGATATTTCTGAGAGTTTTGTGTAGGCATTAAAAGTTTGCAAGTCGTGCGACACACTGGCTTCAAATAAAGAATTTCCTGGACTTACAAGAATTTGTAACTGATAAAGTTCCTCACGCATGTGTGTGTCAGCACTCATATCTGCAACATAACCATCCTTATCTTTGCTACCTTTGTAATTCAGTACATCTTTATTAGGTTTTATATGCATAGCCCAGTTGATTTTAACTAGTTCAAGTGATGCACAAATATTCCGATATTTCATAGTTGCATTATTGATTGCGTTAACGATACTGTCTGCCATTTTCAGCAATTTGCCATTATTTCGTGTATTATTCATTAATATTGGAGTCCATTGTAGACAAGCGCACCAATGTGGTTCAATGTATGCATCAGCACATGAACGATTTTCTGGTATTATATCGAATAGAGATATAGCACGTTTACTTGCCAACTCAGAAATATGAATAGCAGGAGTATTTTTGATTTCCTCTTCATAACTTTTCAAAATTGGGTTTTGGATTTCATCATTATATACTAAACTACCAGGAACTGATTCAAATTTCGTTTGCTGTGCATATAATTTTTGCATTTCTAGAAAACGATTGAATTTTATATATTATATACTGTTGTATTCTTTAAAATATCTATAGGTAAATACTTACTGAGCAGATGTTTTAACGTGGCATGAACATCAAATGGTGTGGTTAATTTGTCAGCATTTTTAACAAAATTTTCATACGGTTTTGGATAACGTTGCTTAAACGACTCTGGAAAAGCAAAGCTAAAATATGGTAGTCTCTCCTCTTGCTTGCCTTGTAAAGTAGCGCGTACAGAATCGAATCTATATATTAATTAATGATTTAATTAATTGAACAAGTTTATTAATTTAATATATATTTTAACAAGACTGTTTTTGTGTACAATATTTTTATAAAACCTAAAAGGCAACTTTAATGGTAAAGCACTATTAATGTTTTAAAGCTATTACTCTACTAAAACGATAAGTATCTGGTGGCTATTCTGGATCTAAAGTTGAATTTGGAGGCAAATGTGCCAGAGATGTTTGAAAAGTTTCTGTTTTTGTACATTTTTGTACTATTATGAAATAGATTTTATAAAGATAGATCTGCTTTCATACACGGTTGTTGCGTTTGGTGTGGATTAAGCTGATGTTATGACTGGATAAAACTTGCTATTTAGTTGTGGCGTGAAAGCCCAAGAAATTTCATTTTAAAGCAGCTGCAATAATTGATTGATTGAAAATATATATATTGATACAAATATTCATTGTAAAAAAAATAAATATGTATATATATATATATATATATATATATAATAAAATGATAAATAAATAAATATATAGTATATTAATTATCCATAACAGATAGGTATAATAGTTGTTTAAATTTGAATATGCAATTGCGCGCCAATTACCTAAATATCATATTCAGTTATTTGGGTATTAAATATTTTATTATTTTTCCAGAAATGAAATAATTTCTTTAACAACGGTTTTTCCAGGCCTTAAAATATTTGTTTAACAAGGTCCTTTTAGACATTAAAATATAATATTTATTTATTTTAAAACAAAAGGATCAGTTAAAAATAGAATGTAAACTAAAGGAAAAGGAAGTTATAGATAATTAAGGTAGCGAAGGATAAGGTTAAAGTTATACAAAATGGAAGTGTATACCTAAGAGAAAAACCCAAACTAATTAAGAATAATTTTTAAACTATTTAGTATGTAAGATTTAGCATTTAAGAACCAAAATTATAGAAAATAAATGAGTTGCACATTTGTTGCAGAAGCGAAAAGACGTGTATTTTATTGCAGAGTTCAACATTTGTTGTATAATCGAATAGTCGTAGTTTTAATCAATAGAATAAAATAGTATTTTGAATGGTTGGAGATTAAGAGATAAGGTTATCATAAATGGATTTCCGATTTAATAGTAATTCTATATATTACTATGCGAATATTCAATTTAAATAATTGATATTTATCTTTTGAACCAAAATAACAAAATACGTTAACTTTAATCGACAAAGTTGACAAACAAATATATATTTTTTTAATTCTGGTAAAGATATTGGTTAAAAGTTTAATAAAGTTGAAATATCAGGATTATAAATTAACAGTGGACATGAATATCGAACTTAATTATTATGGATTTGTAAATCGTGATTGGAACTGCAGGTTCAATCACTGGAGAAACTGGTTTTTTTAACGAACCAATAATACATGGTATCAAGTCACTTTCACATAATTGAAAAATTTATCCGATTTATACCACTAAAGAATTCTATTTCTTTTTAATAGAAAATTTACCTATTGCCATGATCAGCCATAAAAATTAATATGGTATTCTTGAGTAAATACTTTTCACGTAAGTTATGTAACCAATTGACAACGTCATCATCAGCAGCTCCAATCAAATTAATTGAGTCATGTGACAATCCACCATGAAAACTAAATACAAATCTTGGAGAGTCTGTATATTTAGACATAAACTAAAACAAAAAACTTTATAACGCATGCATTAATTATGAAAAAAAAAAAATTCACATGTTTGGTATAATTCAACATCACAACATGATCTTGTTGATATCCAATACAATGCTCCTTACTAGAACTCAAAATGTTACTTGATTCTAAGTAATATGTGCGTAAATAGTGATCAACTGGCTGTTCATTGAAGCCTTTCATGCGATATGTAAATGTTCCAATATTGGGAACATCTTCATTGAAAGAGGTAACATATCCGTTATTAGCATAGTCCTATCAATTACAAAATAAGGGTACATGTTTTTTCATATTTCCAAGTTACTTAAAAAATTTATAGTTACCTTCCAAATCATTGGATAAATATTAACATAATTAGAATTATACATGCGCTTACGAGTTTCAGGCAATTCAAGTTCATTGTAACCAGTAAGTAAAGGTATTAAAGCTTGTGGAGTACCATCCCCAACAATATTGTACCCATTAAGAACTATAGATTGCAATTGATGCTTTAGAAAATCATACGTTTTTGGGAGCTTGCGGATAAATGCATTTCGACTTAGAGAATCAAAACCGTATATAAGCACATTGTAATAGATAGACGAGTCATCTGATGAAAGTGGCAAATTGCGCCGTATTACTGTATCTCGTATGCCAAAAGCCATTCCGTACCAACTGGGAGTGGATAAATATATATTAATTTCAAAACAATGAATAAAAACCTATAAAAACCTTTGTCCATTGTCTGCTTTACACGCGACCTTAACAAAATCAGAATTGTGTAACACATAAGGTTCCTTAGTTTTAGTTGTTTCCCCATATTTATTTCTGTAGTCATCTTTGCGTATAATATCACTATAACTGCATACCACCTCACCATGTGTAGCTAAAATTTCAGGTTTTACAAAACAGATTGACTTCTATATAAGAGAAAAAATATTTAAAAAAAATTATTTTTTGAAATATCGAATGAATACCTCACACATAACCCAATCATCCAATGGATTGCCACAGTTAATATGCTCCACGTCATGATAAAATTTTATTATATCTGGATTATCTATTGGTAAGTGCGGATGGCGACATACTACTTGGTTTATAAGCGAGCCGACAGATCGTTCAATGATCAATCTTTAAAATAAAATAAACTTACAGTATATTGTACATAAATATGGTATTATATATTTTAATAAAAAATTACCTTTTGGTATTGTTATTTAAATCATTACGTTCACGGAATATGAGTAGAAGTAATATTGTTGATATAAATGTTAAAGCCAAGATTTTTAAACGATAACGATAGATTTGACGTACTTTACCATACATTTTCATTACTTTATTTACCTGTTTTAGAGATATACAGAATAAATTTATTTATTTTGAAATAAAATTGATAAATACATTATTTGAATATTTTATATATTGAAAATGTAATTTTTGTCAACGAATACTTAAAAATAAAATTTTCCAATTCTGTTAATATACCTAATAATATTTTCAATTCACTTAAAATAATTGTTATTATAAAATCATAACGTGTTTCGATGTTAATCATTTAAAATTTTCAACAAATTGTGTTAATTAAAAAAGAGATGGTTATTGGAAATTTTATAAAATTGACACAAAAAAAGAATCGAATCATTTAGCGGCGAAGTTCCATATCGAATTTAAAAAGAAATTAGTTATACTCGCAATACTGATACTGATATCTTTATTTACTGAGAAAACATTCTGTTTGATGAGACATCGATATGCGAATAGTTCAAGAGTTAACCTACTGCCTGCCTGTCTATATATACTGCCAATAAAAATAAAATTTAAATGAATAGAAGTAAAACGTTTTCTAAATATTGTAATATGGTATATATGTTAATGATTTATTGTTTATAGTACCACATACAACCACATTCAGTTATCCTATTTTCGGTAGTTTTAGCTTAGAAAATTGATATTGACGAATCGATGAGTATTATAATAATTCACAGGCTTTCAGATTTAGCATAGGCAGATAGTAATGTGGATTTAATGATCTTTTTAATTTTTTGAACTATTGTTATACATGTAAATATGTATATAAATGTATATGTCATATAAATATATAGTGCATATATGGTTTATTTCATGTAGAAGCTAATATATTCCTATCTTTCGCCTTTAAAATTCTTTGTTAATTATTGAATCTGGATGTGTCGAACGTACAACCGTACTTTCGTTTATTGGATCGCTTGTACAGCTTTATAATAACGTTTACTACTATACATATATATCCTGTTAGTATACTCCAATAATTTTTTTGAAAGGAACTAGTAAATGTATAATAATAAGCTATTATATTAGTTTATTTAAGATTCTGATTTTGTTACAATTCCGGACTTAAAAAAATTTCAGAGTACTTTTTTTTATATAAATGTTAATTACGTTTCAAAAATTCAGAAAATTTAGAGATAAATAATTTTATGGTAAGGTGCAAGTCATTTGTTTAATGCAAATTATTTGTTGTTATTTGTCATACATTTGACTTCTTTACTGCATTGATATAGACAGCACAGACATTATTCATAGGTGTCGTACCTATAGACAAATATGTGTTATTACTTGAGTTTTCTTATGCGTTAATGTGTTAATATTAAGATACAATTACATGGTTTTTAAGATGCTGTTGTACTATTTTAGGTGGTATATTGATCTAAAACATCGTATTTGTAGTCCCTAAATTTACTGAGCAATCTTTATTTTACGTTCAGATGCTGTATAAAAGTGCTCAAGTGCACTTACTCAACTAGCCTCAACATAATAATAATAGTTTTAAATTAATAAATAAATGTAGCTACTAATAGTAGTAGATATAGAGAGCACCATGTTAGAAAGATAGGAGTGGGCTGCTGTGTACATTGCAAATCATACATATGAACATAGTAATTAATTCTAAAGAATTTGTCGAACTAAAACAATTTATATACAGAAATAATTATTTCTGCAGACCAACTTTTCCTAAATATAGTCACACATAGATCAATTAAAAAGTAGATTATCATAAATTAATTATCATGTAGAACATCTAAAACATATATGTGGAAAATAAGCTTAGAGCGGTAGTACTTCGTGAAGCCAATTCAAATGTTTTGTAAGTTATTAGATTAGGTTAATAAGAATAAAACTTAAAGCGTTACAATACGTGTTTAATTTTTGTTTGAGATTTTGCGCTCATAAAATGTGCGCTAAGATAGTTCTAGCACTTACCCAAAAAGATATTGAGGTTTACGTGACAAATCGTATCCCACTCTCGTACACAAACCGCTCGATAAATAGCGAAATACGTATTTATAAGCATCTAAATCTATAGAAAAGCTTGTCGTACCATAATGCGAGCAATCACATCATATCATTTCCCGGGTAAAGAAGACATGAGGTTATCTTTTGTGGTTAAAGGGTAATCCTTATCATCAAAGCAACGATAAGTTAGAGGAAATATATGAAGAATAATCGTTATTTTGTCGGTATATCTCCAGCACATATGGACTTCAGATGTAGACACTTAGGAAGAAAAGTACTTTATTTATACTTTATAAATAAAGTACTAAAATAAGGAAAAAATTATAATGGGTCAAATATGGCTCATTTTATAGACAGAGCAAATGTGATTAAATAGAAAATGATCGAATTAAGATAATCTATATAAATGTATAAATGTTAATATATTTTAAATAAAAATATTAGCAGTAAGTAACATAATACATATACTTTATAAACTAAATATTTGAAATACTATATACAGGCACACGCAAAATGGACTGGAAACAAATATTAAGGACGTCCATTACAAAGACAGTAAAATATTGATTATTCGATAATATATATCTATGATAAAAATTGTAATGTGAAAAAAAATTAATAATTAAATGTAGCACGGCATTGTGTGTTAACTTGCGAGTTCATAGTTCAAATCTGACAAGGTTCAATGAATGGCATTCCAAAAATCCAAAAATAATATGCGATTTGTTAAATCAAAGACCACTGATGATGGTAATTTGATGGGATCCACAACAGCTACATGGTTTGAAAAAATTTACATGGTTTGACTAGAAATTAAAAAAATTGTTGGATTTAAAGATTTTCTTACTATTACCCCCTTTTCTTTTCAAAATGATTTCTTTTCATAGGATAAAAGTAATTTTTAATAAGAAATTTCTTATTTATTAAATTCGTTTGATGCACACAGGCTATCCTATATGTCACATATACTCTGCAAAAAATTAGTGTCTGTGAATTTTGGAACTTTGCCGGTGGCGCGGTGACGACGTTAATGTAAATATTAGATTTAAATTATTTTATTTTATATAATATACTACTTGATTTTGAATGTAAATACTAGCTAAGGTTTATTAAAATTACAAGTTGACTATTTTAATTAAATTATACTTGTACAAAAATGGGACGATAAAACGAACAACTCTCCAACATATCATTTGCTTTTTAAAACTTCTTGCAGGAAATTATAACATTTTTAGTCATTTTAAAATAAATAAATATATTTATATTTTATGTGACTTGATTAATTAAATAATCAAGTCACATAAATTAAACTTTAATAAAAAACTCTGTAAAATCAAAAATCAAGTAGTTTGGGACTTACAAATAATAAAGCCGAATTTTGGCCATGTGCGATTTCCAAAGTAAATGGTATACACTTTTTCTGACGCGAAATATACACAAATATAACCAACTATAGAACTGTGTATCTATATTATTTTATCACAAATTTAAAAAATTCTAAATTTGAATTTATGTGTATATATAAAATTTTTAATTGTAATCATTTCAGTTTGCGTGAATTCGAGTTCAATACGGAATGCAACAACCAAAACAAATCAAAATGTTACGTTTGAAGAGAGCGAGTGTACAGACGGAGGCATCTTTTTGATTACGTATGTTGTATAGATGTTACACTTTCAAATCACAGCAATAATTTTCACCATCCCCTTACTTTAAATGTATCGATACACCAAAATATATATAATATTCATATAGTGGGAGCTATTTAAAATTTTCCTTCTGAACTAGGCAAAAAATAAGTTATAATAACGTAATTGTACAATTTTAGAGCGATTCCGATTTCCTGTACAAGCGAATTTAAGAATTAGTTTTAGTAGAATCGAGTATTCGGAGTACATTTTTCCTATAAGTTATCTATCGATATAGTTTTCTTCTGGAGATAACGAGATTTAAAGTTAAGAAATCTAAAGAATCAAAACGAAATGCTTTAAATAAGTAATTTTGAAAGTTACATGAATTTCTTTCAAAATAACTCAACGATATTAAAGTACTTTTCTTCCAAAGTGAGAATTCCAAAAGCGGTATCAATTGTTCTTAGACATTACGAAAAAAAGTGACTACTTCTGGTTAACTCTATTATTAAAATAAATATCAAGAATAGTTTAGCTGAGAAAATCAAGGCATAGATTGAAATATTTCAAAAATTCCAAATCGTCGGTTAACTAACGTACTCTCAGAAACCGACAAAGAAAACCTGCTGCCCGAATATAATTGTTTGAACGGAGTAATTCGACTTTTACAATTTAAATCGATACTGTATAAAATAAGACAGTCTCAAAAGAGTTCAACTCATATGAACGGGTGCTACTATATGATATAAGAATGCTCTCATCTGCAGCTCCAAATCCAAATTTGATTAATGTTAGGCTTTCGAAAGGAGAGAAAATATCTATAATGTATCAAATATATGTATGTTTTCTAACAGTTACAATTGATATTCAAAAACCTAAAGTACTGATCCAATGTTATAATTTACCACTATTTAGTTACGCAGCGGTCAACTGCAAGGCTTGAACCAGATGAGTAGACTGATTTGGTCAGCATCATTTTATCAACAACAAAAAGCTAAAGGCATAGAACTCAATATGTGTGACGTGCAAAGCAGAGCATCCAGCTAGTTCTTATGGCTCCTTTTACAACTACAATAACACAAAAAATAGATTTAGACAGATTTTAAAGACTAATAGAATAAATTTTAGCAGAACTACTTTAAAAATGCCTTTTACACAAATAACAAAACAGCTTTAGCTAATACTTCATTATTCCAACGTTATTAGTGTTGTCAACAGAATGTTTTGCTGATTTAACAAACTTATTTAAGCAACAATTACAACAAACTTGCAATGATGCAGTCAATAATTAATACAAAGGTGTATACATGGAAATGAAATCCCTTAATGTAAACAAAGGGTCAACTTCGTTATTGTCTTCTTGTATTTCCGCTAAATATTCTGCTATTGCAAGAAACCTTAATAATATCAACAATGGACTGGAGTGCGCTTAACTGTGGTATGTATAGAAATAAGAAAATTCCTCATTATCATATCTTTGTAGACATTAACAACAATAGATTTTGTAGATGTTAAATCACTACTATAAGACGAAGGTTCTATATTAATTGCTGGCGACGTAAACGCGTTCAATTGAAGATGAATTAAACAATGCTCGAACACGCATCATTGACATAAGCATCACAATGAACTTGAAACATAATACACATCTTCGGGTGATGCACAACCTCCCCTCTGATCACTATCTAGTGTTACAAAGTTCAGCAATGCCAATAATATAGTTACGAACTGGAATCAATACAAAGAAATATTTTGTATTGAATTTTCCAACCCAAATAAATAATTTACAAGAATAGTACAATGTATTAAGGAATTCTATACAAAACGCAAAAAGCTTGTCTTTAGTTACGCAAAATATAAATGTACTTCGGATATTAAAATCATCATCAGGAAGAAACAACATCAACAAATTCAAATTAAAAAAAATGCAATTTAGAACCAGTAGCCGTGGACAAATATACAAATGAAAGCAAAAGGGCTAAACAATCAGCAAATTCAAACTGAACTCTAGATCGTTAATCTATAAACTGAACTTTTTAGTTAATCTATAAACTGGTAACAAGACGATCTAGATGCTAAGCAAACACTTTTGGCTGAATTTAAAAACTATAATTTCTGCAATTCAAGGCTCACTGAGGCAGTAAGTTAGTGAGTTGCTATACAAAACAAGATAAAGCAGAGGGTTTTGGAGATTATCTAGAATATAATTTAATATGATGTTACTAATGTATCTGCATTGGAGATATTACAAGGGTCCCACTTACCTTTAATTATATTAATTATAATTAATTATAATATATATATAAACAATTGACCTAACAATTAAAAAAATATAGACATTATCTTTGTTTGATGATGTTACTCGTACTTGCATTTTCCATCACGATGAAAGCGCTAAGTTCATCACAAACAATTTACAAACACACAGACGAAATGTCAAATTTGAACAAGTGGAAAATCAAAGTGTATATAGAAAAACCCAAAGCCACATATTATCACCAGGAAACGAAGTCTATGTCCAAGAAAACAAGCCTTTTATGCTAAATCTTGTCAAATGCTTGGAATAATATTATGTAAAGCTTTTCTATCAATTTTGTCGACTGTATGAATTTGTTACATGATCCTATGTTTGGCCTGTAACTTAAATTGTTGTTTAGGAATTTGGCAATTTATTTCTATAGTTTTTTTTAACAAGTCTAATAAGACTATTTAAAACACTAAAGTCGGGAACAGATTAATTAGTCTTTATGATGAATTGTATTCTAGTGGATTTTTAGGTTTCCGAATCATTACAAAGGTGGATAATTGTGTTAAACAGTGAAAAACTTTTTTCTTTATTCGATATTTGCGGGATTATCAGTTGGAACATTTATTGCATGCCTCGAAAAATTTTGTATGTATATAGCTTGGAATATGAAATGGATGAGTTTGTTTTTATGTGTTTACTATAATTGCTTCACATCCGTAGACATCTTGAAGTTTGTTGATTCAATTATTAATTGGTTTTCACAAGAAATGTTCCACACTTTTAGTAGCTGTTAATTACAAGCAGGGAAGCTCTTTAAAATCACGAGATGTGCTGTTGTTTTACATATAATTTAAGGATACTGGTAGCTGTATCCAACAAAATCTTTTTGTTTCTCGGGTACCTGTTTGTCTATTAAATTTTTTGCATTTTTTGCAAAATTTTCAGTTAGGTCCTGCTGTCAAACAGCATATAAGACTATGTCGAATCGTATCACAAGATACAGGCCAACCAATATAGTACGCCAACCATAGTATAGTGTGACTTTGGTTTCAAGAGATTGTTGATTCTAAGGACGTATATCGGAGTTTTTTATGTCATTTTAATTACTGTCTCACAATAGTAATAATACATAGCATCCTACTTAGTAAAATTGTTAAAGTATATATATTTATAGGATTATTAGGATATTAATGATATATAAATGATATATAAAATTGTAATTCTTTAGTTTCTTATTTATTTTCTACACTACACTATATTTATTATATACTAAGTACATATTAATAATTATTTTGTTGTGCATTTTCTAAATGTCATAAAAGTTCGTTATCACTCTTTTGTTTATTTATGCTTAAACCAAATTCAACTATAACAGATACAAAATATATAATGCCAACAGTTATAAAATATGTACCATAAACAGTGTATTGACCTTTAGCGCTAAGTGCGAATCCAGATTCAGATACTACTACTATTGTTAGAATAGTTTGTAGTAACAAAGCTATAAATGTATTTATTCCGAATACCAATCCATAACTATCTTCTTCCAAATAGCGAGCAACTTCAGCACTGAAAAATATACAAAATTGCTGTTATGATTTTTTTAAAATTTAAATTCAATTTTTCCAAACATTACTAATCATTTTTTAATATATAAGTATAATTAAGAGATCAAAATTTATTAAACTCATTTAACATTTACCTTGCTACAGTAATAGTAAACGCGTACAATACTCCAAATATAATAAAACCCACGTAAGATATATAGATATTTTGCGTTAAACAGCACATTAATATGGCGCCACCTTCCAATGCAGATAATAACGCTAGCAGCAGAAGACTTGCACGGGGCTTAAAACGGCCGGCATGTATATATCCTGCAGCTAAAGCTGTTAGTGCTGCGAATGCTGTTAAAACTGCATCTACCGCACCATTCCAAGCAATCTGTAATATGTTTTTAGCACGATTTTTCTTATTCAATTTTAAGTTAAACTAACCGAAGGTTCAGGTTCTATATCTTTCCACAAAACCTGTACGTAGGATATAACTTGAAAATAACCGCAAAATCCCATCGCGTACCACAAACTCCACTGCAAAACTTTTATATTTGTATAGGCATTATAAAAATGCTGCCACAGTAACCGTGTTGGTGATATTAAACTCTGCCTTTCGCTGATATTGCTTCCTTGCGATTTCGTGTCCTCCAATTCCCTGCTATCGATGCTGTTACTGTAATTATCATAATTGTCTGTAACAGATTTAATTTTGTCTTCAATTTTCTCTTCCTTACGGTGAAAGTATAAACTTCTTTCCACTTTCGGCAACCCGAAAGCCCAAACTGTAGCAATTATTTGAGCTAAAAGATATTAAATTATATATGTTAAATAATATATAATTAAATCAAATTTACTTGCAAGTGTTATGTAGTTAAGTTCTTTGTAGTTCATTAATTCGAAGTTAATTAAAAGTTGTGCAGATATACCAGCTACCAACTTTCCCGCAAACATTGCAGCTCTTGTATGGGAGGTTACGCGTGGATAGTACTTTTTGTCTACTTTTGCATATATATAAGTGTAATAAGCTACTTCCGATGCCATATAAGTACCGTAGAAAAATTCTAATATTTGTAGTGCCTCCAATGAGGTTGTCCAAATAAGCATACTCCATATTATAATACCGGTGACGCCAATTGTTATAATTAGTGGTTTATATCTGTAGTCATATGTTTAATGCGTTTGGTTAATAACATTATCAACATAACATTTGCTTTTAATTTATTTAAGGCTATCGTATCTTGTTGGAATCAAAATATCGCACTTAAGATTATTTTAGGAAAATGTTTGGTCAGTTTTATATAGAATGTAATATTCTTAGACATTAGGCATATCCACAGGAAATACATATCGATAAAGTATAGAAATGATATACCATACAATTAAGAATGTGATTTAAAATTAGACACAAAAAGATTTCGATAAGGTATAGTTCACTTAAATATATTGGAGTGGTTTTAATTATTAGCTGATTAAAATGTTTAATTACTACTGTTAGAAATACGAATATGTAATTTATACTACTGTACAAGATAATTATATAAAATAGAATACAGATAATAAAATCTGTTTTGAATTTAATTAATAAAATAATTTTTATTAACAACAAATTTATCAGTCATTTATCATTCGGTATAAATTCAGCGATCAAAAAATTTTTAAATGTCAACAATTAATAGAACGTACATATAGCATTTATTTTGTTTAAGTAAAATACAATATATCCTTAATTTTAAAAAATCCATTATTAATTATAGTTCAAGACAATGTACAACAACTAAAACAATTAACTTTTTTTTTATCTTCACTATCTACAGTATTTATTTTTACTTACCTCAAAAAATCAGTAATAAGAAACACAATAACCTGTTGTGCTAGATAGGAATAAGTACCCACAGGATAAACTTCACGGTTTACCTAAAATTGTTTTAAATAATATAATTTCCTAAAAGTAAAAATTTGTGTTCAAAATGTTCAGAAATTTCATTCAAGTAGAGTTTCATTTTTAAAACAATTTTTTATATCGTTTATATCAATTTACCTGATCTTGTGTTACGTTACGCCATTCTCCCAATAAAAATTCTGTTATGTATGGCTCGGACGGACGCAATTCTCTTATAAACCCAAAAACACACAGTAAACAAGAAATTTTTAGCCATTCTTTCATAACTTAAACTTGATACGATTGCAAAAAGCACAATCCAACCGATCTACTCAAATTATTGCTAAAAACTAAAATCCTATTGAGAACCAAATTTAATAGAACTAAAAACAAATTTGAAATATATATTTATCGTGGTGAAATAATTTTAATTTAAGAGCTTTCGTTCTCTAAAATTTTTGAGCAATTAACCCATAGTAAACTAGTACAAAAGATACTTCAATGCTTAACCAGCAAATATCAGTAACAAGAAGTTTCTTCCAATATGAAATTTGCAAAATGTTATCAATTCCAAAAGTTCCAGAAATGGTTCTGGAGGGGATCAAGAAATAAAAATAATAGTATGGGATGATATATTTTTAAAATAAATCATCGTACATGGTGCCTAAAAAATAACGACCAAAGAGATACTATTATAAATCAATTTTTTAATTTGAATTTTAAAGTGCCGTCTTTCCAAACTTAGAAGGTTTGGTATGGTACTCGAAATATATTAATTTAATATTTAATATTATAAATTTAATATTAAATATTAAATTTAATATTAAATATTAAATTTAATATTAAATATTAATATTAAATATTAAATATTAATATTAATATTTAATATTAAATTTAGTATCTCAAAAAACGAGAAAGGAAATAAACCTGTAAGGCACAATATAAGAAGTAACATTGTTTGTATGAACATTCCAAAGGAACGGTTGTTCTGCGAATGTAACAAGCGGGAGAACAAATCTTTAACCAAACTGTAGAATTTAGCATTCTTCACTGCTTGGCGACGACCGGTACATTTTGTTTCAAAACGTTTGTGAACTAATATATACATGTACTTTTGTTTGTTTCTAAAAATGAAAAATAATGGTATAACGATAACACATGTACCATTTTAATATCATTGTTACACATGGGTTAATATCGAATGAAAGGCATGTGCATGTTACAATTCTTTGCTGAACGCATATGTATGCAATATTGCATGTCTATCTAAGAACAGATATAGTATTTATTTACATGGAAAATGACTCTCACTTATTTTTACTAGTATTCAGATGTATTCATTTATTATAAACTATAAAAATATATTGTTTTATTATCCACAAATGATTTAAACTCGTTATCATCATTTAATATGGAGCACGGTTGTAAAATGTAAGCATGTTGTTAAATTTTACTATTGATAAACTTTATATTTTTTAACTGCAAACGTTAGATAATTCTTGGATGCGCCTTAGACACACTTGACTGATACTCGATTCATATGTTTTTAATATTTGACAGTTGTATTGTGTGTGTTTTATGGTTTATTTTCGTTTTCAGTTTGAGTGAAGCTTTTTAAAGCTTTCTTTAAAAAGCTCGAGGCAAAATTCGTTATTGGAGTAAAGCAGGTCCGATATTAAATATTCAACTAAACAATTAAAGTTCTCGTTTTTTGATTTTCTCCTTCATTTTGTACGTTATTAAATTAATTTAAATTGTTTTTCATTGCATTCATTAATTTCCTTAAGGAATACGTAACAATATACACAATTTAATTATTAAAAAAATTTAATTATTTAATTGTTTAAAACCGATATTTTAATATAAGAATTATTGACTGAAGACATATGTAATTATTAATTAATTGTATTTAAGACAAGCAAAAAAAACTGAAGATAATATAACTTAAAAATCCATTAAACACTAAAATGGTAATCACTAGCGTTCAACGACTATGCAAAAGAAACGACTGTTTTCTGAGTTATAAATCTACTTGCCCAATACTTTTTGCCTAACTTAATATTTGTGTCTTAAACCTAATAAAAAAAAAAGAATATTGGAATATTATTTTCAAATGTATGCCACAGTTAATGACAATAAAAAAGCACTTTTCTTTCTTTTAAAAAAAACGCACAATAACGCGTACTTAACAATTTTGTATATAAAGTTTCAGTGGATTAAGTAAAAAGTATGAAGTATTAAAAAACAATAAAACATCGACTAAAATTTATACTAAAACTTAATTTTGTCTCTGTTACTTGTGTTATTAATTTGTTATATACTCGGGCAAATCCAATGACAACGATCCGCATATACACGGCGTTGGAGTTTTTATAAGCTCATTTTACTTATTTAGTCGGCTATATCGAAGCGCATAATCACAGCTCGATATAATGCAAACGTTAGGAAAAATTATCTTAGTTCCATGCTATGCCCCACCGAATTAAGCGAATATGACAAGAAGGAAAATTTCTATGGTAAAATTAACAACACTTTAAGAAGAGTTAATAAAAATGATATATGATTTCTGATGGGCGATTTTAACGCCTGCGTCGGTGACGATAATATTGGCTTTGAAAACATTATGGGTACAGCTCTGAAATACTGAATGAAAATGGGGAAATGTTTTTAGAAACTTTTGCTCAACACAATTTAGTGGTTCTAGGCTCACATTTTCTATATAAATTACATCATAAAATCACGTGACATTCTAGAGATAAACAAAGTAAAACAAAGTGCAAAACACAGCTCTTTAGTAAAAAAAGTTAAACAGCGAATCAGAAATAATAAACGTACCTTTTTCAACAACTTGGCAACAGAAACCGAATGCGTAACTTGAATACGAAGCATGAAAACCGTTTTTTAGCATATACGGGTAAAAAATCAATCGAAACCAACCTATAAAAATAAAAACGACAAAATATTCACCACATCTGAAGAAGAGCTAGCCACATGGAAAAAGAATTTACTCGCCGTCCAACCATTGCGCGCTCTTCGAGATCTATTTCCACCGAAACACTTAGTTTAGACGAACTTTAAAAAGCCGTACACCAACTAAAAAATGGGAAGATAGCCGGAATGGACGAACTATACCTAAACTATACCGCAACGCTGAAAAGAAACTGTAACAGTCAATATCCCTAAGAAGCGTTATTTGAAAGTTTGCAACTGGAGATGAATGGCTCTTACACCTGCAGTTAATAAAATTTTCAACAAGATTATACTTAACCGCATACAAGTATTCAATGAATCGTTTACTAAGAAAGGAGTAAGCAGGTCATCTATGCACTGAACATGTTAACAACCTACGACTTATTATCAATTGAATACAAAAGAGTTCTCATGAAAATTATAAACTTTAATACGATGTAATACGATGATTCAAAAGCAAAAGTTTCACATGCAGGAAAAATAAGCGAACCTGTTTCTACGTTAACGGGAGTAAACCTCTTATCACCATTATTGTTTGCAGTAACAATAGACGCAACGCTCAAAGTTTCCACTACAGCTAATCGCCGAATTTCATGGCGAATTAGCAAACACCTAGAAAATTTAGACTATGCCGACAACATATGCTAACCAAAATGGACGTCATAATGAATCCAGGAGTATTTATCGAACTACGTATCAACATTAACAAAACAAAAGTTTTGACAATAAAACTCAATAATTCACCAACTTTCTACGTTCATGGCAACCAAATTCAAAACGTAAGCGAATTCTGCTATCTTGGGAGCATAATCTCAGAGGAAGGTGGTTAATCCGAGAATGTAGCATACCATACCCATAAAATCAGAGTTGCGTTTGTTTCATTATGTAACGCATATCGGTCTAATTCATTGCCTTCCAAAACAAAAGTACACATTTTTTAATGCATGTATAAAATCGATTCTGGTATGTATGGGTGCGAGACATGGCTTGTAAACTCAAGCACTAAGCAAAGACTGTGACCTTTACTAACAGGTGTTTGCGAAACATCTTGAGAATCTGGTGACCAAGGATGATAAGAAATAAAGATCTATTATAAATATATAATAACTGAACAAGAAAATATAAATAATGAAATAAAACGACGAAAGTATAGTTGACTTGGATACATTTTGAGGAAACTTTATGATGAAAAATGTCACACAGCGCTTGAATCGAATCCACGGGTAAGACATAAAAGACGAGGGAGACCGAAGATTACATGGTAGTGTACTGTTTTCAATGAAACTGTAAAAATATTTAGCGATTTACGACATAAAGCATCTGACATACAACGATGGAGATTCTATGTTAACAATGTTCCTAATGAAATTCAACTAATAATAAATTAATTTTAAATAAAACAATCAAAATGTAATTTTTCAGAAATGTGATTTTTGCATTAGTCAAACGAGTAAAATCCCTTGCTAAATCCGAACAAAATTAGTTGTCAGGTGAAATATCTAGTTTACCAAATACGACATGTTTACGACATATGTCTAAGTGTTATGAAATTTCAACAGAACATCAGCAATGGATTTTTCTTACTAAGGCATGTAAAGTTTAAAAACTTGTGCTGTATTTCGAAATATATCATTTACTAATTCTTATATTCTGGAACGATTATTTTGTTAACATCATTTATTTTACTATTACTATTCATTTTACTATTCATTTACTGTTGAAAAGTAAATGAATTTGGAGTATTCAATATTTTTGTAGTATTACTTACTCTAACGATCTGTTGAGGAATCTAAAAGTTTTTGCTTAATAAATATGTTCTATTATTAGATACACCCTTTATACAACTAATCGCTATCATTGAAGTTAATCTATTTATGTTATAATATTTCGAATTTGTAATTTAGTTTACTAAATTAGAACTATTCTAATCATTACAACTAAACTAATCGCTATCATTGAAATTAATCTTTTATGTGTTATAATATTTCGAATTTGAAATTTGGTTTACTAAAAATGTTCTATTAAAAACCACAATAATTTTATTTATATTTATATTTATTTATATAACTATAACAAGGGATATTTGTGATCATTATGATATTTAATAAATAAAAAACTTTTTATTTGTATTTTCTAAAATGCATTTATTTTTTTACAAATTTAAACAAAATTACTATATACAAATTTATTAGTGTAAAAACGAATCATTTAATATTAATGCATTAATAAATGAATTGACATTTGATATTTTTTCCGACTTAGTTTGTTGCACAATCACTCAGGCAAATGTAACAGTTTCATTCTAACAAATTATTACAATAATTTAATTTATTGCGTTTTTTATTTTTTTTAATATACAAAATAAATAAATTATATTACTACATTGTTTATTATTTTTGGTAAATTGTTCTTTGCTATTTCATATTAAATAGTATTAATAAATATAAAAATTGGCCGCATATCGTTTAAGTGAATTTCATACGTATGTGAAGAAACTAACATTTCCACAACCTTTAAATTTATCCAGCCGTTTTTAAGATTTTGTTATTGTTGTACTCCATTCAATTCATTGCCGGATAAAAACTCAATTGCTGCTGAATTTATGCAGTAACGCTTCCGCGTAGGCTTCGGGCCATCTTCAAACACATGCCCCATATGTGCATTACAACGAGAGCAACGTACCTCTGTGCGTATGCGTTCTGGATGTTTAATTAGTAGTAAAATATTACCCCCTTTTAGTTTTATTTTTTGCACAAGTGATTTATATATATAGTATATATTGTTTTTTTTTTTATAATGTTAATATAATTAAATAAATTGATGTATTTTTGGCGTTGTTTATAACAAATTGTGATAGTTGAATTGGTTTTTAATTTAATTATTACGAGTTATTACGAGTAATAAAGATTTTAATAAAAGTAATTTCAAAAAAATTATGATAGTTTTTGAGAACAAAACATATAGTACAAAATAATAGTAAAACGAAAAAAAAATATATATAATTATAAAGAAGAAGTGAAAACAAGTAAAACACAAATTAATATAGAATAAAAAGTTTAAAGTGAAGTTTAAATCGATTATAATGAAATGATTTTAAAGATTATAAGCGAAATGAAGGAGTTCAACCCAAGCGAATAATGTAAAAGCGAAATGAACATAAGAGCGAAAGAGTGAAAGAGTGAAAGAGCGAAAGAGATAAAAAATAATCAGTTAAATAACAGTGAAAATTATAAAATGAAATGAATTGAACGTAGTCGAGTATAAAAAGGTGGCATCAGCAACATTTTAAAATATATTATTATATATAATGTTACATACCGGTTAAGTTAATTTTATTTGTAAATATGTAAATAATGAATGAAGCATTGCGATATTTTTAAAGCGAATTGCATTGCATGTTGGTTATATTACGTATGAAATAATTTCAGTCATAATTTAGTTTTTAATATGAATAAATATGTTCATAATTATCAAATATTTTTAAATAAGTTGTTTTTCATATATGTTTACAATTGAAATAACATACAAATTTGTATATAAATAATGTAATTAAATGTGATTTTGTGTGTATATGTAAGTTAGACCCCCGTACAGGCACATATAAGAAGCGAAAAAGAGAAATAGAAAAAAATATATAAAAAATTTTATTATTGATATTGTAGAATATTTATAACCTTAATAAGTTTTAAGTAGATTTAGCATAATTTTAGCTTAAATAGCTTTCAGATTAATTTCAATTTACACAAAGTACAAGTCTTTATCTAGAACAGTAAAAAAACATTCAATGCATTTAAAATAAAGGAAGCAAAAAAAATCGCAGCATCATGTCTTTAGCAAAAGGCATTTACACAGGGGAATTAAATGTTTACTACAAAAAAAAATCTCATTCTCATTTATTTAGTAAGCAACTCATGTGAAATTTGAATACAACATTAGTTTATATATTATATAGCTGCAATGGGAAAAAATATTTCACAAGATTTGAATATGTATTCGCCTAGTCGGGTTCCTTTAAGGTAAAATTGTTTTGAAAGGTTTGAGTCAATTACTTTCATTAGAAAAACATTTGATCTTGCTTTTGGTAGTTTTAAAATATTAATAATGATTAACAAGATATTGTGTCAAGAATAACGGAATCAATTCTTGAAGTTCGTACATCAATTTTGATTAAAATTTTACAAAATCAACACCAAAGAGGTAAACCTTAACACTAGCTATGCGAAAAGCAAAAAATATATATTCAAAACTCCAGAATGTTGTAGTTCTCTTTCTATTATACTGGTATTTTATTAAAACTTCTATAAGGGAGACAGACTTCTGGATTTGTGGAGAGAAAAAAGGGAATAATATATCTCATTATTTTTGTTAATATTTCAATACAAAGCATGAGTTACTAACAAAAATGTATGAATTGTTTATTAGTGTACGTAAATAGATTTTATTATTGCTTTGTAAACATATAGTAAATCAAAACTAATTTAAGAATCAAGCATTGGACAGGGAAACACACCCATGTCACGGCATAAAATTTTAGAAAAGTAATAATTTTGTTTGGGTTAGGTTTGATTAAAACGGTGGTGTTAAAATTAAACTTATATCTATTAACCGCATTACATTATCTTTTAAACACTCGAAGGATGTAAAACAATTCGAATTTTAGTCATTAGGCTTTAATAAAGCCTAAGAAGCTTTTTGGCTGCATATAGGTCTGTAGCTGATTAGGATTTTTTACAAAGTAAGGTACTAGCAGTTTTTGTCTAGTAGACGTTAAGGGAAGATTCCTAGCATGGTTTTCTAACTGGCAATGCTTCATCAGTTGAGTATACAGACCGATATATGAGAAAATAGGACTGATATATTTACTAGACATCTTTATGAGATTGCCTGATGTTTTTCTTATTCAATAATAAGTGTCAAGTTTCGTATATGTCTGTATTTTGTTGTATTAAATTGCGCAATACAAAATAAATTGGAACAACTTGCCTTTTGATGACGCTAGTGGTATGTCTCAATCTTTCAGATGTTTCAAACGTGCTCCTGGAGCATCCTATTGAACTATATCGATATCTCGTTCTGAGACGTTAATAGTTTCGACTGAACTCTCGCACTTAACTGTCTAATAGTATAAATATATTATAAGTTGATAATTTATATGTAAATTCACAACTATAATATAAACTTGACTAAAAAATTCGATAAACAGTAGCTATGAATTATTCAAAATATTATAAAATTAAGTATAAGACAAACAATTATAATCGTGGACTAAAGAAAACGAAAATAAATGTTGTTGTATAAAATAACTTCAGTATAATAACTAAGTGAAATTTGAGTATAAATTATTCCACAATAAGGCAAGCTTTTAGTTTTTGGTATTATTTTGGTATTCTTAATAATTATTCTACAATATACTAAGATGAAATAAAATTTTATAATTGTCGATATATTTACCACCTGTTAGTATATGATATATATTTTATTTGAGAAATCTATATAAAAAAATCTCTTACACAATTTCGTTTTTATTGTGTTAGTGAAAAATTTATCCACAAGTTTTGGTATTTATATTTTAATAAAAAAATGTATGTCTAGTAGTTTAGGTATTTATTCAATAAAGCGTTCCAACCACATTTTAAATGTTATGTATGAGATGAGAATTTTTGCATCTTTGATGGGAAAAAAATAGAATTAAAAAGTAAAACTGTAAATATCAAAATTCAAAATAAAAAAGTAGTTTATATTGAACTATTTCTAAATCTTTAATTTATATTGAGCAATTTAAAATTTATACCAACATATTATTATTTTTTTTTTAATATAAAATTCTATAAATTTATAAGCCTTTACCTCATATTCGATAAAAAGCAAAATACGTTTATAACGTATTTAAAAAATCAAAGCGTATACTTATTATGTAATCATTCGGTTCAGCGTATATATTTAATTTATTTTAAAAAATTTTATATTTTAGATTTTTAAAATTTTTATTATTTGTAGAATAATATTATTAATTATAATTGCATTCAAAAAAGGAAATCTGGCCATAATAACTTAAATTGGAAACACGTTTATAACAAAGCTCTTAGCACCAAATATATTTTAGACCTTTTTTTAAACTATTGTATATTTAGTATAAACAAATTAAAATTAATTGAATAAAATTTTAAATAAATACATATCAAGATGTAGGTTATGAAATGTTTTTTAAAATGTAACTTTGAAACAATTCCACCGAATGTTTACACAATTATTTCGCAATTAAATAAAAGTTATACTATATTATATTATTTGATCATTTTATTTTATTATAACAACTTAACTCATTTAAATAGTACACAAAAATCAAATGTTAAAAACGGATTCGATATTCTTTGATTATTTATACAATAACAAAATACATATATATATTTTTAATAAAATTTAAATTCAAATAAATTTACTAAAACCAAACTTATTTTTTTGTTTGCACTGCGGACGGTTTCATTGGTATGAAATCGATTGAAGCCGAATTGATACAATATCGCAGATGCTTTGGCGGTGGACCGTCATCGAATACGTGACCCATATGTGCTGAACACTTTGAACATCGCACTTCAGTGCGTACCATGCCTAACATTTTTGAAATAACTACTATTGTTTATTATAATAAATATAACAATTTAAGGTTGTTTGTTTTTGTTTTCAAGATTTCGTTTAAAATTGAAATTTTTCGATTTCGATTTTATTATGCAATTTTGAATTTATTAGGTTTGTGGTTAAAGAGCAATAATTTATATGTAAAAAAAATAAGAAAAAGAGGATTTATTAGTAGCAAATTCAGTATTTACAATAAAACACAAATTAACGTTCTAACAGCATTTTACTACAAATATTGAAAATTCTGAGATTTATTATAGCAAAGATATAACAATTAACATTAAAAAAGACTACATATAAAGTCGACTAATTATTCCGCTCTACAAAATGCATTCAAATTAGTATTTTTATTTCATTTTCGTTCATTATTTAATATAATATATAAATATATCATACAACAAAAAAGCAAATTTAAAGATTATATCAGGTCTTTCAAAAATTACTTCAGATGTAAGTAGATTTATTTTTAATAAGCTGAAGAAAATAGAATTTTCCACTTAAAAGGATACTGTTGTAGTTCTAGCCAATTTAGCTAAGCAAAGTATTTTTGAAAAGGTGGAATATTCAAAATTTCACACTTACCATATTTAAAGAAATATACAATATACTGCATTTTTTATAAAATATTTAATTATTTAGTGATTTAAACGCAATCATATATCATATATATATATATATGTTAAGAATAGAAATATACAATTGCATTCAATATATTATATATTTATTGTAATTTTGCATAAAACTACAAATCAATATAAGTGTATTATTATATGTATTATAAAATGTACTATTATAAATAGTTTTGATTTTTTATGAAAATAAGCATATAAGACCTTTCATATGATCCCAATGTGGTAGCATTTTGTTGTATAATACTATAATAATACGAATAGTTTGTATAAAAACGAACTATGTAATCATTTCGCACTCTAACATTTTTGCAAAAACTAAATTATCTTGCAGAGATGATTACACTTAATTGAACAGTATTATTTTTAATGAACAAATCCATGTAGCTTTCTATTTTTATTATTACAGTACAGTATTAGTATTACAGTACCACCTTGATTATCTACTTTTATTTATTGATTATTTCATGTAATGGATATAAAATAATTTAACATATTAAAATTTAAAGATATTATTTTAAATTAAAAAGTTGCAATTGTCATTTCCCTAAATATTAACTAAATATCAATCAATCAGAAATATAAGTTTCTGTGGCGTTCTATTACCTATTATTGTAATGTTCAGATATCAAATCTTTCCACTTCTTAATAAAAACACTACTACTGAAGGTCTTCTAAAAATGGAATACATCAGTCGATATGTTTGAAAGACCATTGTTAATATGCATTACAATTATCCCTTAATTAAACATTTTTTAAAAAGCAACAAACAAAGCAAAATAAGATATTGGACAAAAGTGACATAAATGCAAATAATAAAGGACATCAACTTCAGTGTCACACAATGCATCTACTATACCAAAAATATTTTAAGTTTTTATTATTTCTCCAGCCACATACGAGTGTTTATCAAAAAACATAAGCTTAATTTTTTTGTTTTGTTAAATTTCAATTAAAAACTATTTTTCATATAAATAATTTTTGCACGAGTAAAATTGGATTTGCGCTTTCAGATTTTAAAGCATATACTGCTTAAAATAAATAACTACAATCAAAGAGATTTTTACGTACATTTAACATACTTTCAATACACTGAAAAATAAACTGAGGTAAAATTTAGTTTAAAAATGTGTGAAAGTGTATGATGTAAATCAGTGCTGTTCAAGGCAAGGTCCACGGGCCACAACTACGTAAATTTTCTCTTGATAAATTTGGTAAAATTACAATTATTTTATTGGGACCATGTCCCAAAGAAATTCAAATTAATTAATTTATTCATTTAACATTATCACTGTATCTCCAAAACAAACCATGGCCGTATGTACTTGTTTCTGCGGCCCTCAAATCTGAACAGTAACTTGAATTGGCCCGCGAAAGTACAGTCCTGATCTAAATTATGCCAATTCTATTCAGTGTAAGATTAACAGTTCATTTCAAAAACTTTCGTTTTGGTTAAAATAGTCGAAAAGAAAAAGTCATTCATTCAATACTGAATGATTTTCGATTTTAATATTAAAAGTTTATTTCTTTACAAATCTATCTTTATTTAAAAAGATTTTAAAAAATTCAAAATTGTAATAAATTATAAATTATTTTATGTAATAAAATTTTCTGAACAAAGAGCAATTATGGTTACTAGTTTCAAACTATTGTATATATGTTGTTTAATAAAATGCAATCTCTACACATCTATTATATTCGAATACAGAAAAAGGAGAACAACTATGCTTACTAGCATTAAAAGCATTAAAAAATACTCTTTTCATAAACACTTTTAGGTATTTAAGAATTTTTTTTCTATATTAGAAAAATGTAAGGATTTTTAAAGGCACTTTTATAAAAACCTTTAAGTTTTTTTCAGTTTCACTTTGACTTTTTTTTAAATTCGAATTTTAATTAATTTTTATTCTCAAGTGCTAAGCAAATCCAATTTTAAGCCAGTATACACTGTATATTTATGTATCATAAAACGAGAAGATACTGTGGTGGACAAAAAGTCCAAAGTCAAAAAGATTATCAAACTTCTCATAACATTTATAAAAAACTAAAAGCAATTTTAAACAGTATACAAAAGCAGCAAATATATTTGCTATTTAAACATGAGTTTACCTGGTATACTTGCATCGCGGTGTAATGATATTTTGCCTTTATCTAGAACATCGTTGAACGCAGGCCAGCCACAGCCGGAATCGTATTTGGTATCAGAACTGAACAGGTCCTGATGGCAAACTATACATTGATAGACTCCTTTTTCGTTGTGTTTATTATAGCAACCTAAATAAATAAAAAAATTATATGAAAATCGAAAGATATATATTTTTTTCAGTTACCGGTAAAAGGTCTTTCAGTGGCTGCTTCCTGGGTAACTTGATATTGTAAAGGTGTTAGACGCTTTTTAAGCTCCTCCTTGTTGATTGCTACTTTTTCACTTTTATTTTCCATATTTTCTAAATTGTTTATTTTTTTGGCTGTTTTGATTAGAGAGTTATCTGCGTTGCTAGTTGTGTTTGCTGGTTTGAATTTTCCTGAGTCTAAAATATAAAATTTTAAAGTTTTGGATTAACACAAACCACAAACATTTTTTATAAAATACTAGTATATAGATTACAATTTTTAGAGATTACTAGTATTTTTTAAAATATAAAACTTGATGTTCTATATCGTTGAGGGCACATAATCAGTAACCTTATCTATAGACGTAGATAATAGAAGAAAAAAAAGTATATTGTGATAAATCTCATAACATTTATAGCGGTTTTTATTGTGACTATAAATAATGTGCTTTTATTGCAACATTTTAAACATAAAGAACATGTATTTCTTCTTTTATTAGGAGAAAAATTGCGAACTAAATGACATGCATATATTTTACTATACTACAATATATACTACTATATAAACTATTCGAATAATGCAATACAATCATACAAATCTTTAGTATTATTAATTGCAATATTTTAGTATCAATATACTAAAATACTTGTTTATATTAACAAAAAAATGCTAATGGTACTTGGTAAAATCTTGCATTGTAGTTAAATAATTTATTAACACTTATAGCTAAAACAAGATAAGTTCACAACTCTACAGTGCCCTATTATTTGCCTCTGCGCTATAAACCGTTCCAATCTCTGTAACTTTTCATTCATTATAATTCATTATTTTTTTATTTAATTTTTTGCTTAAAGTTGCCTAAAATGTGTACACAAAACAATATGTACGGCAATAATATCTTGCTAAAAAGTGAACTCAAAGTTAAAAAATAAGTTAAAAAAAATCTAAGATCATATACAATTTACCAAACTATATAAACTGGTAATTATGCCATTAATTCGATATGGCATTGAACTTAGGAGTACTGTCTCCAAATCCAACACTCAAATTATTCAAAGGCAACAATCAAAAATATTAAACATTATAGTCCATGTTGGTTGGTATATACCAAACAACAAAATTCATAAAAACTTAGGCGTTGATCTAATAGCAGAGGTGATAAAGACGGCTAGTGCAAAGCACATAACTCGAGAACTTGAGAAGACTCAAACGCTCATTTCCAACAGAGTTGCTAAATAATATGTTCTAGTGTGAAAATTGTTACATATGTTTTTAACTTACTCATTGAAAAAAATTGTATTTGTTAAATATGGTATTGATTCAATATTACGTATAATCTTTGTATACTAAAACATTCTTCCAATTACTTATTGTCATTTTCTGTAAGACAGATGTAATTATACCAAACTGAGATGATTATTATACATATATATTATAGTTTCGAATTTATAACTCCTGCATATATAAAAACAAATAAAAAATTAAATAAAAAGTTAAAAGCTATTAATCATTATTTGATATTTTATTTTTGGTGTTTAAGTTCGTAATAGACTTATAATTTTATTAAAATATAAATAAAATATGAAATAATTATATTCAGTTTAATTGTAACTTCTGGGAGGATTACGTTGCAACAGAACTTTACAGTTTTCAATTGTGTTGATTCAAAGAAAATTCATGCAAAATGATAAATCTGACATTTTTGGGAATCTATGAATTTTTAAAATTTATAAAGAATATAAATAGCTAAATGAAATGGGTATTTTAAATAAATCCATTAATATTAAAAAAATTTTTTTCTTTTGAGAATATCGGCAGAATTTGCTAAATGAACATTTTGCCTACCTTGAAATATAATACATAAAAAACCCCAATTTATGGGTTTCGTCTCTGACAGCAAAAACCCTAACAAAGACTTTAAAAATCATTATGAATTTGAAAAATATTTCTAAAAATATTTCAAAAAAAGTACTTTCTTTTCGATTTTCTTTTCGATTTACGAACGTGCAGTTACAATTACTAAAGTCGCGAACTTTTGCTTTAAAAAAAATTCTGTTGCTTAAACAAAATAATTCTGAGTTTAAAATTAATAACTGAGTTTATGTTATAATGTTAATTATAATCGGGAGCATAAAGAACCGACTAAATATGAGTCAATTCCTATCTTATAAATAATATTAAACTAACATTTTTAAAAAATTTTTATCAAAATCTAATTGAAATTACAAACAAAATTATAAAAGAGATATACAAATTTTAGTGCAATATATAAATTTTTCCAAAACTTAAATATTGCTGTGCAAAATGAATTTGTGGTATATAAACATATGTATACACATATTTATTATATACATGTATACAAACATGTGCAGCAACATATACGGCAACTGAAGTGTGTCGACGCATGCAATTAGAAAATCCGTTACTGAAAATATAAATCAATGTTTAATTTGAAAAAGTTTGCGGAACATTAAAAAGAAATTAATTAATAACAAAAGCTTCTCGTTTTGTATGGAGTGCAACCTAATCGCAAACGAAACTGCGTGTATACATTTTTTATGCTCTCTTAGGATTAATGATATCAATGTAAAACCTTTTGTCACAATTTAAATTTACTGCCAAGAAATTAGGAATTCTTAAAAAGTAGATAGTTTTAATATAGACACATTCTCGCCAGTAAAGTTATGCCATTGTGTATATTTCTTGCTAAATTTTCTGAAGAAGAATCCTTCCTTTGTCGGAAAGATTCAGACAGAATCATTTCTAACTACATATTTTTATACCTATTCAGTTGTTGATTTGTATTGTTACGAATTTCATCAGAGTAGCAATGAAATGTTTAAATATTATTTAAACATTATGTCAATGGATATTTTTTTTAGAAAGAAGTTAGTGTGTTGGAATTTGTTTTGAGTAAAGAAATTGGCTCCTAGGAAATCTAGTTCTTTTCAATACAATTAATAAAATTACTAAAGTTTCTCCAATTTTTAAAGTTCGTTTTATTTTTATAAAATCCTGAGATACGAATAAACACGCAGGCGAAAACGTAACATTTGGTGTCAGAAGTGGGATTTTATAAAAATGGTGAAATTGGAAGAATTAACTGTGGTTCAACTAAAAAAACAGTTAGAGAAAGTGGGACTGGGCACAGGTGGTGCGAAAACAGAACTGCAATTGAGACTTCGTGAGGCGTTGGAGGCTAATGGCATTAATGTAGAAGAACACGAGTTCCTCGAAGAAAAACCTGACAAGAATAGTGAAATTATGGCAATCATGAACTTAATGATGCAGAAGCTGGAACAAAATTCTGAAGAACAGGCGCACAGTTTACGTAAGTTGGAAGAAAAGCTGGAAAAAAATTCAGAGGAACAGGCGCACAGTTTACGTAAGTTGGAAGAAAAGTTGGAACAAAAGTCTGATGAAATCACGCAGAAATTAGAACAAAATTCTGCTGAATTAAAGATTGAGTTGCAACAAGTTCAGGAAAGATGCTCGAAGAGAATAGACCAGACTGATCTGAATGTCCAGACCTTAAAAGATGAGATAGCTCAGTTGAAAAGCCAAGTTGAAAATATGCAACTAAGTGGGTCGACTTCAGCCATTGTTCGTGAAATTGGTGGCGTTAAACTAAAACCACCGACGTTTGATGGAACCGTAACCTTTGAAGTCTTCAAATTACAATTTGAAACAACAGCTGCAACAAATCATTGGACTGTTGATGAGAAAACAGCGGCTCTAATTGTGGCATTAAAAGGTAATGCGGCAGATGTTTTACAGCAAATTCCACCCGAGGAACGTAAAAACTATCAAGTGGTAATGGACACATTGAAGCGTAAATATGGTAACGATTTTATGACTCCATTGCATAGAGTAGAACTGAAAGCTAGAGTCCAGCGTGTTGGGGAGAGTCTTCAAGAATACTCTGCTGATGTTGAACGATTGTGTAATTTGGCATACGTTGGTAACTCTAGTGATTTTATGGAGAAGAGTAAAATTGACAGTTTCATAGACGGAATACGTGATCCAGAAACCAAGCGACAGGTAGTAATGTTCCCGAAGAAGACATACTCTGAAACAGTCAGCTGCGCATTGACGTACGAAGCTGCCGGTATTATGTGTCGTCCTACAGCAAAAATACGGAAAATAGAAACTGATGCGGATGACCTGGTAGAAGTAATTCGTCAGATGAAAGTTGCCGTAGTTAGAAATGGCAACAAGTTTAATGGAAGATGTTTTGTCTGCGATAGATTTGGACATATGGCGCGAGACTGTCGTCAACATCGGAAACGGTCACGATCAAGCTCTCCATCGGAAAAGAAACATCACGATAGCAATTCTAACGGGGCTAATAAGCCTTCGTTAAACTAGCGAGAGTCAGTTCGAAGGGGCATGAACTGACTTCAGTAAATGATTGCTCCATCATCCTCGTTTCACAGTTAAAGCGGGTACCCAATAGCCTAACCATCGATGGAAAAATTAACAATATGCCGTTTATTTTGACTTTGGACACAGGTGCTTCACATTCGATAATAAAAGGAGGCCTACAAAAGAATTGTACATCATTGGCTGGTCTAAAACTTCGAACAGCAATGGGGGAAGAGGCGCCAATACTAGGAAAGGTCATGAAACGAATCACTTTAGGTGGCTATGAATTTCAACATGAATTCATGGTCGCCGATATCACCGATGACGTGATTATTGGTATAGATTTTATGATCACGCATGGAATTACACTGGACTTAAGTAGAAAAATGTTACGATACATGGATATCGAATGTCCACTAAATACTGGATATCAGCGTAGTAGCAGTGTAAGACAGATCCGGTTGTGTCAAAATCAGAAAATACCAGCGAATTCAGAGGCGATTGTATGGGCAAAAATAAATGGAGGGGAAAGGACAAGTAAGTTGTGGGTCGTTGAAGCCGTAAGAAAAATCCGAATGAACGACATCTTACTGGGGAAAACATTAGTAGAGCCAAAAGTAGATGGTAGCATACCTGTCCGACTCTTGAATTTATCTGGTACATCAAAGTTTATAAAAAAAGGGGCAATAATTGGTGAATGTCAAGAGGTTTCAGCTGTGGTTAATTGTAGTGAAAATTCCGAAATAATGAAAAAAGAAACCATTGCAGAAAAGGAGGATACAATGGTGCAAGTGCTAAGTTGGACTAAGGAACTCAATGCACGTCAGAAAAGAAGTGCGATGCAGGTCATACGGAATAATTGGCCAATTTTTGCGCTCAAGGGAAGAACTTCTATTGTAAAACACGAAATTAACACTGGTGATTCTAAACCAATTCGTCAGGCGCCTCGAAGAGTTCCACTGGCAAAAAGAGATGAGGTAACCAGTCTAGTTGCGGGTATGCAAAAAGAAGGTGTTATTGAGTCATCGGCAAGTCCATGGAGTTCGCCGGTGGTACTTGTAAAGAAGAAAGATGGAAGTACACGGTTCTGCGTAGATTATCGTAAGCTGAATGATGTTACAAAGAAGGACAGCTATCCACTACCAAGAATCGACGATACTCTCGACACTTTATCTGGTGCACAATGGTTCTCAACTCTTGATCTACGAAGCGGCTATTGGCAGGTAGAACTTAAAGAAGAAGACAAAGAGAAGACTGCATTTAGTGTCGGTGATGGTTTGTGGCAATTCACGGTTATGCCGTTTGGACTCTGCAATGCTCCGGCCACGTTTGAACGTCTCATGGAGCGCGTCTTAAAAGGACTAACCTGGAAATCTTGTTTAGTCTACCTTGACGATATAATTGTAATGGGTAAAGACTTCGACGATCATCTCGAAAAGTTGAAGGAAGTATTCGAGCGAATACAAGCTGCTGGTTTGAAGCTGAATTCAAAGAAGTGCTCACTTTTCAAACGTGAAGTCAAATATCTTGGTCACAAAGTAACCCCAGAAGGCGT